GTTGTTATTTATATTCGTCGGAAATTAATTTAGGCATTGACGGAGATTTTAAAATATGATAAACTTTTTCAATTTAAAAAAAAAAAGTGGTTTTTAGACCAATAAGTTGGACAAAACTAGAGGAATTTTTTAGACGGATTTTATTTTTGAAAACGTATTATGATTGATTAACAAGTTTACTAGGTTATGATATTTTTAATATTACAATTATTGTTAGTGTCATGATGAATAATATAAAACACAAAAATATCATATTTTTATTCTTGGATATCACAGCTGAAAAAATAAATATTTAAAATCTCCTCTGGCATGACCTAGTAAACTTGTTAATCATGATTAATTGTGATTTATTGTGATCGAAACTTAACATAGCAGCAACATTTTGTAACTTAGATTGCACAGTGGGAAACCATCATAATCCGTTTTCAAAAATAAAATCTGACAAAAAAATTCCTGCAGTTTTGTCTAGCTTATGGTCTAAAAGTCACTTTTTTTTCATCAACTGGAGTGGTCGAAGATGAACTATTATGACGCTCTCGCCAGCAGCGTGTTCGAGGTCAGTGCTCTCTATAAAGCCACGCCCTTTAGTGCACGAGTTGGCCTACCGTTGCGTAGCTGGTATACGACCCTCATGCTCCTTATTAGCGTGTCGTTCAGGCGTTTCATTCTGATCAGTCGATCAAGTGACTAAATATTTTTGTCGTACCCTCAGTAAAGAAGTTTCACTTCAAAAATTGTACAAATGTATTTTAATATTATTCAACTGCTATTGTTACAATATATCAGAAGCCTTGTATTAAATTTTCACTCATTTTCACCCAATAAATAAAATTTTATTTACAATTATAGAAAAAAAAACTAATAAACTTTAAATTTGAAATTTTCTCAAAAGAAGTCAAAATATTTTGAATATTTTATAGTGTATAGAAAATGAGATTTTAAACATTCAGTCAATTTTCATCTATCTACAGTTATTTGTATTTGAATTACAACAAAACAACAAAATCGCAACATGATAAATCGAGTAAATATCCAATGTTGTAAAAATATGAACTTTAAAAGCTCATAAAATATTTATTTTATTGACATACATAGTAAAAAAAAAAACTAAAACAGTTCAAAACACATAAAAATATTTTGAAAATTATATCGTGTATACAATATTATGCTGATATAAACAACCATTGAAAATTTCGTGTATAAGGTCATTTGTTTTAGAGTTACACCAAAAACCAAAATCGGATTTGGTCGAAAACAGATTTTGCTTGAAAATTCCCGTTATTCCTTATTTTAATTTGATTTTTTTTTTTGATTTTTCTCGACGCTTTTAAAAATTACTGATAATTTCAAATTTTAACCTCCCTAATGCACCAACTAGATTCACTTTCCCATCGAACAAGATACTGAAGTTTAAAATCGAAGCATTATTTTGACTACTTATCATCGTGTACACAGACACATGGAAAAACAAAAATAAAAATAAAATCAATACACTCATCGCTCCACTCAGAATTTAAAAACATAATAATATTATGTAAAAAAAAAATAAGCTCATAAACAATAATGATAAGTCTATTAGAAACGAACTAATTTATTGTCAAATATGTATTATTTGTTTTTATAGACAATTATGATAGTAAGTATTTATAAGTTTTACAATTTGTTTCAGTGATAGAAATATGTTAACAAAATGGATATGAATGGTAGCAAAAATTGAATTTCTGCATCCCTATAACGAGTTGATGGTCTTATATCAAATTGTTGCATACCTACCTAAAATGTAGTTATGAGTATTCTGTTGCAAATCTGAATATATTATTAAAATAAGTTATATTTGTGTTCACAAATTACTATACTAGAATTTTCTGTATGGAGTGATTAGATAGGTGAAAAAACCATTCTGTTAATAAGTAATGATTGAAGCCACGCCCCCCAGAGCCCGAGTCTGTCTACCGTTGCGTAGTAGGTATACGACGCTCATGCGCTTTATTAGCTTGTCCTTTGGGCGTTTCATTCTGATCAATCAGTCAAGTGACTAAATATTTTTGTCATACTCTCAATAAAGAAGTTTAACTTCAAAAATACCGAGGATTCTGAAAACTAAAAATGAAATAACTTTCAAATAGGTTTACTATAGAATCAATTCATTTATCGTAATTTATATATATTATATTTTTTTTATAGCCAAATATGACGGTAAGTTTTTATATATTTTATAATAATTATTGTTTAAATATTTGTCTGTTTGAAGGTAATAGGAAAAAAAATTATTGAAATTACGAATTTTCTTATAACGAGTTGTTAGTTATAAACAAAGGTATTGTCTGTTAATTTTATTAAAAAATCATAGAAAAGTCTTTAGTAAGTTTCGTACAAAAAAAATATAATGAGTGATTTAGAGTGGTATAGGCGTATAGCTATAAGATAAAGTTAAGTGTTCTGTTTCAAATCTAAATATTGTGTTAAAATAGTTTTTACGTTCACAGAATGCAATACTAGAATTTCTATAGATTAGATACATGAAAAGAACCATTACATTAATTTAATGATCAATTAATATTTATTATGCTAATATGTGTATTGATCATGACGTAGTTACTAGTTTATTGATCTCAATTCAAATAAAATCAAAATCATAATATATATAGGTAAAAGTTGTAGTTGTATATTGTAAATAGTTATTACGTTGACGACTAAATATATTCAATAATTATTATATAAATTAACCACGTATAAACCTTTTTTTATTTTGTATTCAGATTCATTAAAAAGTATGTAATTTTTGTGTTTTTTATTGTATTTCGAATTCGCTTAATGAACAATAAATTGTACTTTTAAGTAATATATGCTTTGTTCATAGTATATTTTATCAATTAGTGTTATTTTAACAATACATAATAAATTGTCATTCTAATTATACAAAATCGGGATACTTTTTAAACGAAAACTATCATACAAGTTGTATTTTTTTTTTCATTATTTTTACTCATTTAATTTCCAATTCTGAAATAAAATCGTAATTCATTTATTTCAAGTATGCTTTTTTTTCAATCCACATAATACAAATAAGTAATGACCTATAGTGACATGCCATGCAAATTGTACGTCTAACTTTTGTTAATAGTTCGTATTTTTTTTTAGAAACATATTTGAAAAAAGCTATATGAATTATTGAACTGAAATTAAAAGTCCCTCTATTGAAAATGTTAATTTATCTTTTACATAGTTATAATTAATAATTTTTTAATTATTATTATCATTTTTTGAAGATTCAATTAGTAAGTAGAAATATTTTTAAAAACAAATTATTTTAATATTATCTATTTCGTCCATATTACCTATAGCTTCAATGTCCATTTGTAGATAAAAATTGATATTGAAGATAGAAAATAATGTGCATTCCTAAAACCAATAGTCAATTATTAAATAACCTTCAAATGTGAATCACACAAAATAATAAAGGTATATTTAAATATGTACATAGGTAGTCAATATTTGTAATATTCACACATCGGAATTCATAAATTTGTATTAGGGGGGGGGGGGGGGTGGTTTGACCAAGTGGACTAAGGGGTCGGTTGCGACGCGCACCGACGCCGAGGCCGGTTCAAAACCCCGTCTATGGAAGGCATTTTTCTTCGGGAAGTCACGGTGTCCGGAGAGAAGTGTAACAATCGCCCACCCGGGCATGGCAGATACCTACGGGCTACGGGTGCCCACTAAAAAATCTGCAGAACTGTGTAAACCTGTTTAAGCCTACGATACCCTTCCACACATTAAAAAACCACCCTATGCCCTAAATTTCCGCGGGTTCACTAATAAAAAAAAAAATTGTATTAGTGATACAGAAAACAAAAGGTGTTTATCACATTGAATACAACTATTAAGTTTATGCACCTATAAACTATATCTGATATTGCATTATTAATAACATTATTATAATATTTTTTTCTTTTACAGAGGCGATTGGTAAGTAAATATTATGTTCATATTTTCACTTTCCTACAACTGAAATGATCAGATGACAAATCAAAAATAACAATCTGAAAAACTTTTTTTTCCAAAATCTAGATTTTCACATTTCTCAAATATGCCTATAATCTATTTTACTCTACATAAATTAGCTAAATATTATTATTTACAGCTGCAGAAGGTACGTGTTATACCAAATAAATAGATTCTGACCGGAAGTGTAATATAATTGAAAAATGTTTATGATTTTAAAGTAAATTATATAAATTTGAAATTTGAACAACTATAATAGAAATTATGATTACCTATATGTATTTTAAAAAATATTTCAGTTACTTTTGTAGTACCATATTATTTTACATTTTCAATTTGTTGTTTACCTATTAAAATAACATAATAATAATAAATTGTAATAATTATGAATGAGTATAACGCAGATTTATGGTGTTCATACAATAATTATTATGTTTTTATTGAAATACACATGGTTGAATAAGTATTAGATCACAGTATTTTCTTTTAAAATATTTACATCACTCAGTGGTGATTTGACATTAATTAAAAAACGTATAACAGGGAAAGATATTTGGAGAATATAGTTTTTTGACTCACGATGCTCCTGGGCTCTATCTTCCTGTGTACAGCTAGGCAGTGGTTGATACAGCGGTCGTCGGTAATGATTCCGATATTCGGACGGTCGATCGGCGGAGGTAGGTATGCTCGACGATTGATAATTAGTTATTGTGATACGGCGGCGTGCGTGCGTGTGCGTGTGTACGACGTTCGTAAATTGTTTTCAGGCGGCGAGTATAATATATACGGGTCGGACGGCAGCTACGGCTCGTTCTCGATGTCGATATATTTTACGGGCGGCAAGTAGGTACTTTAGTTCGCGTCGTTCGCGATGTTTATTCTCAGCAGCGAAATGGTATTTGGACGGCGGCGTATGCTCGGCGTTCTCAATATTCTTTTTAAATGGCACGGCAGAGGGAAACACCGTATAACGGACGTGCAGCGGCGGCGTGAAAATGCAGCGGCGGCGTTACACTACGGCGGCGGCGTTAAAACTACGACAGCGGGTCGATCGTACCGGCTCGTTTGACCTGGCTTTTAGGCCATATCCGAGCACGGTAGATGAAAACAACGAACGGACTTACAGCGGACTTACAACGGCGGCGGCGTTAAACTGCGGTGGCGGCGGGTTGATCGTACCGACTCGTTTGACCTGGCTTTTTAGGCCATATCCGAGCACTGTAGATGAAAACAAAAACGAACGGAACGGTAACGACGACGATATTCTTATTCAACTGTTTGACCTGGGTTTTACTCCATATCCAGTTGGTAAGAATACCGTAGTATATCGAGTGGGTGTGAGTATGAGTATGCTGTTCACGGGGCCTATTTACCGACTACCTCAGTTACCACCGTGAACAGTAATGATGGCTATAGGTGTCTACGTTTTGGTGATTTTGACTGTACCTAATATCGCTGATGGTGTGTGTTTGCGTTGACGTCTATTGTTGTTGGTGCGCTTCATGTTGTCATTGCAATTAGTGTATAATAATTACTTAAAGTTTGTAATTATTACGAATATGTTCCCGAACATAACTTTGTGCGTGGTGCATGCTATCTAGTATCAGTATTTGGCGTTCCGGGCTGGCTACCGATACTAGATAGTTTCACATTTATTTACTGGTGGCGCGTCGGTTCTCTGCGCTGTTGTGTGTGGTTCGCGTTGGTTGTTCACTGTAGGCGCTAGTGAGTATGTTATTGTAAGAAAAATGAGAGTAGGTAGTTTTGTCTCGTTACAAAATATAATATCCAAACTATCCAAACCGGAACATAAAGTGGAACATTCTAAGCTTCATATATTTGTATTTTGTTTTATAATACTTAAAAAAGTATAACTTTGTGAATGTATTTCTCTTTCTAAAAGTTTAGAATAATACATTTCATATAAATCTAAGAAACTTTATATTTCCAAAAACGTATAATTTTTACTTTTATCTTGATTATTTATAAATATGCCACTAAACTATTATCTATTTGTGGAAAATATAATATAATGTACATAGATATTAATTTTTTTTTAACTTTATAATTTACAGTAAAGGAACGTAAGTATTATTAATTTTTTTTTTAATACGTTATAGTGTTAATAATGGTATTTTTCAATGTTATGACCAGACCAATAATAAAAATTAAAAATTATTGTGATTTTGATGAGATTCTAACAAATTCTAAGTTAAAAGTTTATAACAAAATTATGACTATCTATTTTCGATATTTCTTAAATCAGTAACGTTTGAGGAACCATGTTTACTTTACCTACGTTTGTCTATAAATATTATACAGCATAAATAAAATTTGTCATGATGTTATGGTAGTATAAATTACCTAGGTTATATACTCATATCTAGTAATTGCCAATACAACTATTTGGTGAAAATTTCAATTGGGTACTCAATGGACATTTCTTTTAAATACAAGAAAAACATTTAATTAATTTTGCATAAAAACTACGGGCCTTTCTATATTCTTTTGTTTATTCTTAATATTTTGAAAAGTACTTAAGTTGAAGATCCAACCATTGTTTCTGTTGTAAAACGAATACATTATATACGTGGAAAAACACACACAATCGCAAAACGAACGCAGTCCCTGAAAGATACTTTATAATACAGACTAATATACGGCCTCAGTCCTCAATAAATTTTGCTTTATAATGATTGATCATTTAATTCAAATTCAACACATAAATCACATATTGACTTTGGTACTCAATTAACACAAGAAGTGTGAAGTGTACTATACGGCAGGGTGACTTTCCATTATAGTTCATATTGTAGTTCAATAAAAAATAATAAGTAGACAAATTATAAAATTTATTTCCTATTGATATTTTTAATACTTATATCTACTTGATAATTTATAATTAACCCTGAGTTACCATGTTCTATAATTTACAATATAATATGTAGAAACACAATAACATTATAATAATTTGTTTTTATAGAGTCGATAAGTAAGTGAATATTATGTATTTGCATAATTTTATTTATTTGAAATTTTAAACTTGTACCAACAAAATTCACAATTGGGTTTGGAACCATAAGGTGTAAATCAAATCTTTTTAATCCGCTTTGTATAATATGTATATTGTAACGGTACTAATTTCTGAATACTACCAAGAAATAAAATTATGAACAAAAAACCGGTAAAACTATTCAAAAACATAAACACTGGAGACAAACGAGTGTGACACGAAAGCAAGGACAAACCACGTATCGATGATAGCGTTTTCACTTGCCTCAGAGCGAACGTGAAAACCAACAAACATTGAAAGACGAAAACCAATAGGTAGCATATAAAGTCTGCGATAGTTGCGATGCACAGGTGAAATCATATGAATTCACGTGAAATATCAAATACCTTATACATTGATAATTCAACGTGTGCCTACATATCAGTTCAACATAAACCAGTCAAGAGTGCCTAGGATCACTAAAGCCATTGGAAGAAAATAATACTACTTACCATAACAGGTAGCCCCAAATCTCTCAGTAGTTCATCCGACACATTACCATCTAGAAGTTAAAATTAACTGTAATTGTTAGATGGGATATTGGTAAAGTATCAAGTAAAAGTATTTGTATAAAACGCAGATAGGTCACTGGGATAAAGGTTGGTTAAACTACTCCGTAGAGCAATATCATAGAATGATAATAATTATTTTAATATTTGACAGATATTAACCTAACCGTGTCTTTTCCTGGACTTTTTATAATTTAATATTTATAGACAAATAATATGGTTAATATAAATTATATAATTACAACTTTTTTTTATATAAATTTATTTTCCAGATGAGTTGACTGGTAAGAAACATTTATTGAGTTTTTTATTTTATTGATATTTTTTTTCTCTAAAAATTGTTTATTAATCAATTGGAAATCATAGAAAATTAAATTTGTAGAGGTGGATCGGACTGTTTGAAGTTCGTAAAATCGAACCGAACTTTAGGTGTTCGGTTTGAGTTTGAAAGTTGAACCAAGTTTTAAAAAAAACAGATAGGTACACACTACACATAGATAACTAGAATTTAATCAAGATGAAGATAAATATAATAGAGCTGAAAATTATCTATACACGATAAAAGATAAATAATTATTATCTACTTATCTAGATATTTCCCAACACTGAGCTATAAAGTATAAAGATTTCATTTAATTCAAAAGTTTATTTTGGGTTCAGTTTGGTAGGTAATGCAATTTATGGTACCGGTGTGGTTTGATGTTGAATAAAATGCTCGGTTCCAGTTCTACATCACACTAAAAGTTCGGTCCACCATACTTAGGTTCTGTTCGTGTTCGGTTCGAGACCATATATTATTTGAGTTCGACCCAAATTCAACCATTGTACATCTGGAACACTCATTCAAGCGTAGACGTTATAAAACTTTTATATAATTATGAGTAAGTGTGGCTTTTCTCGAATGTATTGTAATCAGTATTGGGTAGTAACGTAACGCAAATCACAAATTAGTATAAAGCAATTACTTTTTCAGTAATGCAGCATTAATTTCATTACATTTTACTTAAAGTAAAGCAAATGCAACAAAATTACTTTTTGAAAGTAATTTCTATGAAGTAAACGCACTGACGCGTTATTTTCCACGTTATTAAAATAATAGTTTTGAATGTATAACAAAAACAAGCCGATAGGATATTAAAGAGAAATTTAAACCAATTATTTGAATATAGAACATTATTAAACAGGAATAAATTTTATCACCTTATTAGTAGAAAGAAAAGAGTTTGGTTTAAAAATAAAATTTAATTAAAATTAATTTTGATTTAATAAATAAATTAATAAATATGACAAATGAGTTTATAGCCATATGGGTGATGTGATTGTACATTTGTACATAATAGGTCTATTACCACTAGGTCTAATAAGCTCAAATAGGGGATGGGCTTTAGGGGTTAAGCCCTCCAAAAATGTCAATATCCCGCCCAAACGTCTCCTACATTTTGTTTTAAGCTTATTCAATATTATAAAAGTAAGGCTTTAGCCCCCCCTTCCCAAATTGAAAATTCAATTTATGCCTATGTTAGGTCTATGATTGTAAAATATATAGGTACACAATAATTGAATCATATGAATTGAATATGGTTCAAAAATAATAATAACTGTTATCAACGATAAAAAAGTAACGTTATTTGTAACGCACTAGGTACTTTACAAATGAAAAAGTAATGTAACGTGATAAAAATAATTTTAGGTAATGCAAATGTAATTTAAATAAAAATATTTGAAGTAACGAGTAACGTAATTTCATTCATTTTAAAAGTAATTTACCCAACATTGATAGTAATTTAGTCAGCTACACTTTACGTACCTAGCTATATTTTTAACTGCATTGGTTATTCTTTGCGATTCTCATTACTGTTTTAGTGTGGTTTATTAAGTGCAAAAATGTTCCTAATTTAATCTAACCTTACATATTTTTTTTTTGGAAAGTGTGTAGTTATTGTAATAGTCGTACACTCGTACCTATATTACAAACTAGTAAAGAATATAATATTATAAAATATACTATCTATTAATGTAAAAATAAACTATGAAATTAGTAATTATACTGTACATATTATGTGATCAAATTTAGATAGTTTTTTATTTCTATTAAAAATTATTTATTTTCAAAGTTAGTTACCTACTGGACATTCCATACATTTATTGTAAACTTCTCAATGAAACCACTAGATTTGCCTTTTTAATCATAACAATATATTACAAAATATGTTTTATAATTATACTTATGAATTAATAAATAGTATTTTATTTCTAGCCCAAATAGGCAAGTAATTTTTATAATAATTTTATGTTATATTATTATATGTATAATATACATAAATTAGATGAATCTTACATGTTTATAATATTATCATGAATCCATGATCTTATAGTAGAAAAATATTACGATTGAATTATTATATTTATAATATTAATAACTAGAGTTTTTATTTTATTCCAGATACACCATGTACGTAATCACTTTAACTTTGTAAAATATGATTTTAATCTAGTGTTTTCCTAAAAGTTTTCAAATTAAGAATATATATGGATTTGTGTTTATTCATTAACTGTAAATTAAATTATAAATGCCCAATCTGTTCCACTCATAATACATTTGTATGATATTCAAATATCGATATACCGAAATATAATACCAAGATATAACTGCCTTAATATATATATTTTTGTAATTACTTACTGCAGAAGCATATGAATATTGAATAACTATATATTGAATTTAAAAATACATCAACATTTATTCAAAAGTTTGCCTCACATCGGTAGGTCGTTGTGAAATTATTAATTGTAATAATATATTTTGTAGAAGGACAATGATTAGGTTATCTCTATAGTTCTTAGATTGTGAATCATATAAAGTATAATACAATATTATTTATTAAATATTATGTTTTTTTTTTTTTTTTTTTTTAGTTTTAAGACGTAAGTGCATATTATATTTCTGTGGAATGATGGCAAAAGCTGATATTTATATTTTGTTAATTTTTTAATTATCATTTAAATAGTTTAGAAATAGTATATTTCAAGTGGTGGCAAAATATTATGATATGTCACTATTATGTGTGTTTCCATCTATGTGCAAATACCAAAACTGATGTCATTATTTGAAAATTTGTGAAGCGGGACAACTATATTCAGAAAATGTACATATCAGCTTCTGACATCATTCCACAGATTTAAGATTTTTATTAATTTGTTTATTTTTTAATTCAGTTTGTGATTTGTGTCTTATAACCCATAATAATGATGATCATCACAAAATGTTTACTTATTCGATGAGTACCATTATAGTTAAGTTATGAATGCAATTATTTGACAATCAGTCACCCATGATTAGCTATGACTATTACTTTAATTTGTCCAGTTTCCAGATTAACCTATACATCTGCTATAATGTGTATAGGTATACCCTAAAGGGTTCTTGAACTTTAAAAACCAATCAACTTATATTTTAAAATGTATTTTACTAATAACGATAGGTAAATTATATCACATTAATTTGATATTGTTATTATTATTTTTTAGTTTATGTTGCGAATAGTATGTATATATTTAATTTAATTTACACTATAATATAAAAATAAAACTAAAAATATAATCATTATTTTGTACGAGATACCTTCTATTGAACATCTGTGTAATATTTTAAGCTAAAATAAAACACTGCAATTGAAAACAAAACTAAATTTAACATCAATCACATAAATTTATGTTTTATAAAATTTGAAAATATAGATAGATTATAAATCTACAAAATTTAAAAATTAATTGATTAAAACTTACTAGAAACATAGTTAAAAACTTATGAAAACACATATTTATGAACTTATATTATACACTTAAAATAAATGTTAAAAACAATAAATTTAGGTAGGTATACAAAAAATATTAAATTTCTTATAATAATATTAAAAAATAAAATGTAACTGTTATATAAGTTGGTTATATTATATAATAAAATATATAATAATAAGCAATTAACCCATTTTGTATTTTGGAAAATCTACTCCTTCAAATTTCAGTAAAAATGCACTTCTTTTACTGTTTCCAGTAGGCTTTGGCTTATTTAATATTTTCTCATTATAATCTTTAGGTATGGAGTCAAATTCTTGATTGAAGGATAATAAAATGTATTTCCTATGTTTCTTTTTAAAAATAACACTTCAACATCAACATCTAAACCCTCAACACGTCCAACAAAAAATTTTAAAAATTGTTTTTCTTTATATTTGACTAATACAAAATCTCTTATTTTAACTGAACAACTTATAATTTCGTTATCTGAATTATTATCATTGACTAAAATTTCAAAAGTTATTGCAGAAGACATCGTTTTAGTAAAATTATCATCTTGAGACATTCTTTGTTATTTGTTCTTAGTAGAGTTTTTGATGTTTTTTAATTTTAATGGTTTTTGGTTTGATGCCGTAGAAGGTAAACTTGGTGGCATATTTTCAGTTTCTAAGTTATAATTTTTTTTTTTTTTTTTTGTGATAAAACACATAAAACTATCATTACGAAAGTCATTATTGACTTAACATAAACATAAACTTGATTTTTTAACTATTATTTTGCTATTTTCATTTAAAGTTACTGGTACAAATTCTGAAGGAAAATCAAGAGAATCCAATGAGATATTGTGACAAGTCTTAATTGTGATTGCAATTGAATATAAAATCTTATCATTATTTAAAAAATCTTTTAAATTTAAAATTTCATCAAATTTACCGAATTCTGCTATTTCACTCACATCTCCAAAAATATTATCCAAAATATTATCTTCCACAGTATTATCAACGTTATCTATAATACTTTCAGTGTTTCCAAAGTCACATTCATCACTATAAAACATATCTTCATTTTCTTCACTATTTTCTTTATGGGACAAATACTCTGATAGTGTTGTAGAGTTTTTATCAAATATTATTCCTGTGAATATAAAAAAGTTTATTAGAAATATGCCAGGTTTCAAAATTCTCGTCCGGAGTTTAGTAGCAATATGGACCATATCTTGAACATAAAACTGTGGACTAGTAGGCACAGAGTTCTTGATTTTCATTGCTTTCAATAACCTCAGATCACCGTCTGAGAAAATTCTAAAACTTTTATTCCCACATTTCTGCCATTTCTGTCAACGTTCCACCTAGCAATAACATTACTATGTTTGAATCTATTATCCGTACCATAATTGATGCATATACAAAAAGAAGGAGCTTTGTCTACAAAATGTTTAGCCATTATGGCGTAGGCATAATCAGCTTTTATGTGGTTTTCAAAATATTGTGCAATTGTTTTAGCTGATGTGGCCAAAAATGTATCAAAAACTGCTCGTCCGCCTTTGAATTTTTTTTTAAATCTCCAAGTGAATCTTTTATTATAGTACTTTTAACAATTACTGCTTTTACACAATCCACAATTTCATAAAAGTCAGTTATCATTATTTGCTTTTTATCATCTAAAAGTAAACTTTTTTCATAACGACGTTTATCCCTATTTGAAAGACTATACTTTGGATTTTTCCACTTAGAAATATCCAAAGAACCAGTTGTTTCAGCAGCATTTTTCATAGAAGATAATTCCTTGTTTTCTTGGATTGAAGTTGATGGTGTTTTAGAATTTGAATTATCGTCTGGACATTGAACTAATGAAATATAATGCTGAATACTATTGATTGATGAAGTATTGGAAACAAGTTTTCCTTTTACTTTTTTAGGTTTTAAGTCATTATTTAAAAAATACTTGTTGAGATGACGAAAATAGTTTCTAAGAATCCATCTCTTTTTTGTATGGCCATGAGATACAGTTTTGAAGACTTGTGATGAAGTTCCACAATAACAAGTGATCTTGGCCAAAATTTTATCATTAATATTTTCATTTTCAAAATCATTGTTTGAAAAAAGAGCAACAGTCACAGTTTGTGTTAAAATCATATGCTCTACTAATTCTTCATTAGCAGAATAATAATTTCCCTTTAACCACTCACTAAAAGTATGTAAAACTGCTTTTTTTTTCTTCAGATAAATCAATTTCTAAAATAACATCGTTTAATGCTGTAATAGTAATACTATTAGATTTAGAATTCAGGAAACTATTTTTTACACGCTTAGCTTAATTAGTTTACTTTATTAAATTGTATTGATACATGATTAATGATTACTAAGAAAGTATAGGTACGTTAACAGCCACATAGTTAAGAATTAAGATATAAGTGCTGTACTTACATGTCGTTCGAATGAAAGTTGAGATTCAATCAATTTTTTTTATTTGATGAACAATAAATTTATTTCATTTATTGAACATTTAACATTTAATTTTACAGGTGTTAAAATATTATTGGAAACATTTATGAAAGGGTTGCCGCGTATGTATAAATATTAAATATTGTGTATTAATGTGTACTGCATACTTGCTTTTCATATTTCATATTTTTAAATATTAGCCTGGTTTGTGCCTTTGTGGGCTAAAAATTAATCTGTATAAACCCATACAAACCAAGTTCCGTACGCGCATGGAGAAGGGCATACCTACTAAGGAACCCACTTAACATAATATTATCTAATACTGTTATATTTTGCAGAACTGGAAATGGATCAAGCGGTTGAAACCTTTTGTGAAAATAATATTTCAGAACAGAAATACCATACTTCACTTTCCACATTCTTTAATATTCAAGGGTATGTTCAAGAGTAAAAGGATTAAATATTTTGTTTCATAATTTTAAGATAAATATAAATTAAACTATATAATATTACATAACATCAAAATTATATTGTATTAACACTATAATAACACATTCTAATTATAATTACGTACTACTATAATAATTCATACTAAAATAAATACTATGTTATCGGCTAAACATAATTCAATATAATATAGTGTATACTAATAATAGTTGTACTTACCTATTACTAATATTATATAAATATATTTTTTTTTTGCTTTAAGAGCCGTTTATATTCTTTACCACCATTATTTCTGCCTTAGTTCCTTCCAATGATCATTATCATATTATTATGCCTGCTCCCAGTCTACTAAAATCTATTCTAATAATTCCTTGACACTGTCTTTGTATCTTTTCCGTAGCCTTCCTATTGGTCTCTATCCCCTCACCATATATGTCATTGGTCCTTTAAACATACTTCCATCATCCCTCTATAATACAAGGCCATTATATTCTTGTCCATCTGATGGATTAGACGACAACTTATCTTTCGTACATGCGACAAGCGGCAGCAAAGAAAAGACAAAAAATGCTGAAGACAAATAAAGAAAATATCGAGGGACTTGCATCAGTTGTAGCAATAAATAAAGCAATTGATATCAAAACCCGTCAGCAAAACAGAGAAAAACACCAATCAATAATCAACTGGGTGACCATGGTAAACGCGGCAAGAAAACACGAAGAAAAGTGGAAAAAACCGATAGATTGGAGATTGGTCAAGGAAAGATCAATAAGCAGATATGTACCAGCCGATAACAACACACAAGCGACATTCATGACAATTCAGTCGACAATGCAACGACATTCACATATGTAACTGTTGAAATTATAAACAAAACACCCTATATAATGTAGTGTATAAGTAATATATTCACACTGTAGTTCAGCCGACGCTGACTATACATTTTTATAATACTACAGCATAAATGTCTTGTGTAGTGTAGCCGGGTATACATATTACATACCTATATTTGTTGATAAATAAAGGATAAGACGTAATACCAGAAACCTACGCGTTCTTATTCCGGACGCCGGTCCGTAGTGACCGTGCCGTCTCATAATATTAATATCAGTGATCAGTTTAAATCTCTAAACCTGGTTTATAATAATAATTAAACACAGGTAATTTAAATTATAACCCAGTGTTATATAATATTGATATATCTAGTGAGTATTTGAAAGAAATCATTGTATTATATCATTAGGTTTAGTATAATTTTGCCATCGGAGCTGTTTACATTAAAAACTCTAAATTGAGTGAGTTAATATGTATCATTATAATCCGACAGTACTAAAATCATTGGACGTCACTAAGATTGTTTGATTTATTAAGTGTCCAATTACTTAATTGACGCTATACCCCTCGAATACAAATCATAATATTTTCCCCTCATTATCTATCAATATATCGCATATATATATATATGTATCGTTGTCAACCTGATCAATTATAAATTATAATATTCGGTAATTTATGATAATCAACTGAGTAAAACATTAAACGTAAGCGTACCTCAAAAAAAAAAAAATATATATATATTAAAAAAAACCCCTTATTTGAACTAAGAAGTCTAATTAGATGCAAAGCGCCGGCAAACGCGATACTCCCCCCCCCCGGAACGCTACGACCCCTCCCGACCATATAATATATATCTGCCCGCCTCCGAATTTGATATAACGATGGACGGGGACCAGCTTGGAAAATCGACGCTGTTTCAGGTCAATATTATCCAAGTTCTAGACAATCAGGACTACTTCCAACGGATGTTTTACCAAGTCCAGGCTCAAAATGAAGCGATCCGAAATCAAAGCGAAGAGTCAAACAGGAAATTTGGTTTAACCCACAATTCCATCGAACGAACATGTAGTGCACTCAACGAAAAACTTGAACAGAACCGGATCGATTTAAGTACTTTAGAACCAGTCTGGCTGAGATCAATGAGAAGTATATTGAGTGATAGGTTCGACCTCCACCAAAGCATATTAAATAAGTTGGACTCAAAACTTGACAAGAATATTGAGGAAGTACGTGCAGATCTTGGTTTTGCCAGTGGACATGTCAATCCGAACAACAGAAAGTTCAAACTGAGTGTAAGCAATATACTGATCAGTGATCAGAAAATGGAAATTCTTCAATAATATAGAATACGTATATTTATTTGTAAAATAATTAAAATATTCTAAAATATTTAAAAATATTTAAAATAAAATTTGCATCAGATTACTTGAAATTAAATGAAACGTATACATATATCGAAAACTTTCCGATGCTATTATTACATAAAAATATTTATTTAAATTAAAATCCTTTCCCTACTGATCACCATATAGCCATAATCATAAGCGTGAAACGAATTAAGAAGTGTCAAAAATAACGGAACGACTATGTCTAATCGAGACGGGTTAATCGAGCCGTCAATTTTAGCTCAAAAGACCTTAAGTTTAAAAAAAATTAAAGTTCGTTTAGGTACGCTGTCAGATTTTTATTCTGAAAAACCCGAACTCGCCAGAAAATTGTCTATAGATCGTACGGAACGCTTTGTAAACATTAAACATTAAATCTTATATTATTGTAAACTGTAATTGATTAAAAATTGCCTAAATGTTGCCCCTCAAATAATAACCGTAGCGGGGTATATAATATATATTTATATTTATTAAAATAAATTAATATTATATAATACCATTTAGTGACCAAAATAAATGTATTAATAGACGAGTGGTATTACATTTCTTACATAACTGTACCCTATACTAAAGTTCGACAGACGACGGTTTCTTAGCATAGGTATATAATATAATATATATATATATATATATATATATATATATATATTATATATATTGTGCATAATCATGGTCAAAAATTATAAATTAACAGAGAAGGAATTTTTATATTTGAAAAATTCAAATTAAAAAATTTCTCAGGTGGTGCATTTGCACCACCTGGCCCCTCCCTCCGGGCGTGACTGCCTCTGCCCTATAGTTTTAACCAAAGTTTCGATAATCGCACAGAAAAATAAAAGATATCGTCCCGGAATTTAAAAGTTAAAATATTGATCCGATTCACCACTAAGAATTTCTTGAAAAACTTAACAATTATTTTCAAAACCTAGTGTTCACCGACCCAACAAAAATTAACGCAGCATCCAATAGACTCAGAGGTAGGGATAAAAAATAGTCTTACACCTTAGGTCCCATAGTCTTGTTTAATCATTTTGTTGAAAGTTTTCAGCGAAATTTTAGGTTTCCGATTAAAAAAGAAAAAGTACGTAATGAGTTCAAACCTGACAAATATTTAAAAAGTGTATCGTATCACGTACCTATATGAAGCATACAATGATACTATTATACTATTATATGATATTATTATAATAAATTATGTATTTCAACATGTTTCAGATTAGTATTTTATATTTAACTATCTAATGTACCTAATATAACTAGGGCCGCATTTAGGGGGATGCCCTAGCTAGGTACAACTGCCCCAGGCGCCAGTATTTTATTGGCGCCAAAATGTTGTGGTCAGAAATATGTTTACTTGTGAATTATTTAGCTCTTGGAAATTAAACCTATGCCAATTATTTCAATTAAAAGTATTAATACATATTTAACTAAACTTTAGAGGACCATGATAGTTAATAAACTAGTAAACCAAAATTGATGATTTGGCTATCAACATTTTCAGAAAAGAAACCTTTACCAGAATCCATTAAAAATATAGTAGTTAACGTTTGAAAAAATAAAGTAAAGAACCATTTACAAAAAAAAATTAATTTTGCTATTGGAAAACCTGAGTGTTTAAAAATTTTTAAATTGTTATTAAAAAATTGCCTATTAAAAATAAAGAAACACGTCTTTTTTCGTTTTAACGAAATTCTATGTCATCGATCCATAATCGTTAAAAAACCCCGCGTACAATGACTTAAGGTATACCCTGAATATAGGTACCAAAGTATAGGTATGTCCTATAGTCTATAGGTTTATGTTTTTCATCATGTTTCTGACTAGTATTTTGTATTTAACTATCTAAAATAATATTACTAGCAAATTCATTTGAACATTTTTAGTAGAATTTTGAAGTCGATCGAACAAAACGGAAAAATTAAAAACCTGTGTTCGAGGTGCCTATAGAGTATCTTTGCTATGTTTAATTTTGTATACTAATTATTTATTCAAGTGATATGAAAAATAATACATATGGCGTTCAATAAAATAGTGATAAATATTATTCCCTTGTTATATTATATGTATTACTAGCTACCTAATGAATAAACAACTTATTTTGCACAACATTTATTTTGTACTCAAGGAGTGTGGCTTAGTAACATAATATTATTGCTTGTAAAAGAAATCGAGAAGTAGTATTCTATTTCATTTTGTGGTTCAGCGTTCACATTATTTTTTATTATTTTCTCATATTAAAATATTAAATCAAAATGATTTTTAATAAGCAATATTTAATAAAGCTTACATTTACAGTAATTTCAGTTTGGATTATGCCTGCAGCTACTGAACCAAATATAGCAAAATTAAATAGTAAGGATTAATGTATTGATTTACAAAGAATATAATATTCGTGGAAGTTTAACCGCAATGAGTATTATAATACTATAATATTAATTGAAATCCGAAAAACAATTAGGTATTGTAGTTTTATGATAATCTATATAGACAAACAAATCATACACCGTTTCTTACTTTTCAGTTTAACATAATATGATATAACTAATAAAATTGTAATTCTGTAGAGATGCTTTAAAAAGTATAAAATATTCTGATGTTACATTTGTATAAACTCAATCTAGTATATATGGCAGAGTACAGTAATATGTAAGCTCCTAAAATTTGATTGAAATATTTCTATTTGATTTTTGTTTAGTCAAGCAACAATCAATTAATATTACCAGAAATAACTTAAATAATTTTATTTACATTGGTGTAGAACCTAATTATTGAAGATGTGTAGAAATTGTCTCAAATTGAATGACTTATACAAAATAATCAGACGGATGGTTAAATATTTTTAATACCTAGTTTACCTAATTTGTAGTATTTTCAAGGTTGACTTAAAAATTATTTTTTTTTTCAGAGCTCTGTCAAAGTAATATTTTTTAATTAGAAATCAAATAGTAACATAGAACAGTTATGATTTTCACAATTTTATATAAGTACAAAAATATATTGTTCTTGTGGAAAACTTGCAGATGGAGGAAATCATATAAAAATTAATTCATAAGAAAAATACTATGGGCAATTTTGGCCTTTGGGTCAATAAAATGACAACAAAATGTTAGGTAGAATAGGAGAGTGGTAGACCAAAAAAAAAACATAAAGTTAGAAGACTAAGAAGCAATACATATTACATATACAACTTAAACATCATTGTAGATACTGAATCATAATGGTAAATTGTACTTGGCTGAAAATAAAATTAGGAAACGAAACACATTACTAAGATATGAGATGAAAGCGACTCTAGAAATAAAATGGTCCTTGGTAAAATCTAAAATGAAGTAATGGATACAGTAACGCGTATGTTTGGCATTAGGGTATATTAGTACCTATCTTAAAAATACCATTTGTTTAGTAGGATTTAGTTACCCAGGTTGGATCATAAGAGATTAGTAAACTATTCAACTATAACCAATTTGTGGTAATTAGCCAAGCATTGTTTTATATAATTTTGTTTTAATCATTTTAAAATGTTATAGAACTTTTAAATACATGTGTTGCATATCATGGTAAGTATATTATAATTAAAAAAAAAATACTTAATTTTATTACATCCTTATTTTGAAGTACATCAGGCATAAGTGTAGGTAACTTATAAGCTTTAACTTGTATGATTTTAAAGGTAAATTTAACCTTTTTAATTATTTCATAATATATTAGTTATTATTAATATAGGTACCTACCTAAATATTATATTTGGATAATATTGAGCACAAAACAAAAAAATATTTATTATTAGAAATTAATTTAGTATTTTTTTTATGAGTTATATTTTAACTAAAAAATATTGAGTGAGTAGTAAAATGTAGGTGTGCCGTATTGGGGTTCCAAGATGCCTTTGGTCCATTAAATTGTCATAAAATATTCGTAAATCGTTTTTATTATTTAATCAGTATTTTGATTTATTATTTACATAAGCACACCAATTAATGCATACATCTCAATTAATTTAATTTTTTAATTTTTAATATGATAGGTACTTTAGAGAACTTTCCAGTTCATTATCCTCACTTTTCGTAGATAATTGTAATTTATTTAATTCTTAATTATTTAAATTTTTAATTGTTTTGGTTAATTGTTTTGTCTTTCTAATAAGTTACAAAACGGAGTATGTCTACCATGCTACAAATATTTTGAGCTCATATATTTTACTTTTTAAAGCTAGGTATGCGTAAATATTATGTATTATATAAAGTTGTCTGTTAATATGTAGTATAACCCATATTAATTAATTAAATTATAAAATATCTTCCCGCATAATATATACAAAGAACATTGTACCTAACCACATAAAACTTATTTATTATACATTATGTACGTACTAAATAAAAAGTGTAATTCACCAATCATGTTAACCACCATTTTTTTCTTAAAGATAAATACATAGATATTTGAGCATTATACAAATCTATATTTATTTAGATATTTACTACTAGAAATATATTAAGTATATTTATTTTTTTATGAGGAACATTCTAACTTCAAAACTTTGAGTGGTTAGTAAAGTGTATATTTTATTGCTGTTCCAAGATGCCTGTCTTGTCCATTCAATTGTCATAATTTAATGTTTATTATTTAGTTAGTATTTTGATTTTTTTTTTTGTATCATGGAAAATGGAAATCTCAATTTATTTTAATATTTTTAATTTTAAATGATATTTTTGAGGTTAGCTCACTTTTAGTAAATGACTGTAATTTGTATAATTCTTAATTTTTTTAATTTTTTTGGATTATTTTTTTTTATTTAGTTACAAAACACTGTAATGAAAAAATTGCCTTTGATGTGTTCTACCTAGAAATAAAAAGATCCTTGGTAAAACCAAAAATTAAGTAGGGTGATACAGTGAATAGGGTGTTAAGCAATAGGGGGTGGTCAAATTTTAAATAAAGCTATTGTAAAGGTA